TAAAAAATACTTTATGTTTCTACATCATCTGTCAACATCGCACTGAAGTTTAGTTTACCTTTTTCGGTTTCTTTTCTCCAAGTGTTATCCAGTAAAATCCGTTTTTCGCTTTTGGATCTTTATCCAATATTGTTGAGCAGTCGTATACTGGGCTGAAAAACTCTCCTGGAGAACTAGAACCTAATAAATAATAGTGTATAATTTATGCATCATTTTGTTGACCTTAAAGCAGCGACTCAAAGTTTGGAAAGCTATAACTACCGTCCAATGTTCTCCATCTAAACACGCCGTTAACTTTTGAACATATCAAGATTTTAGGTTCGTTCTGTCGATCACGAACCAACGATATCTCTCCACTGCTATTTTTTAAACATGGTCCTGGGTTGTTTCCTTTAATTACCTTGATTTTCTAAAGAGAATTTCAACAAAATTTTGGATTTTTCTACTTAACTTTTCTTTGTAGTGCAATGAAGACAATATATGTCATTTTCCCATTCTCATTTCAATATACATTACATTAGGAAAAAATCAAATAGATGTACGTGAAAAATTGTCACTGTAGAATCCTAATTGTTACCGAAGACTGAGATTTTTCTGAGATTCCAAGTAGAATTACGAGAAGAAGATACGGGCTCTTCATTTTTTTCTTCTTTATGAAATGCCGTTATGAAGTTTTTGTGTGCTCTGCGATTGCACCTTCCTTTTTTGTTACCTTCCAAGCTGAAACGGAAATCGTCATAACAAAAATGTTATGACATTCATGTCCACAAACATTGATTTTTGTATGCTGAGACAAATAATTATTATTAAGCAGGTATAGTGTAATTATACGATTATTTAAAATAAAGATAGAGCAACCAAGATGTTAGAACTTAAAATAAACTGGATACAAGGTATTTACAATTGAATATAATTGTGATTTGTGAAGTTGATGTCAGCGAACTTATTTATCACAAATATTAATCTGCAGACAATAACTATAAACAATAACGTCAATAAAAGTAAATTTAAATACGACCATTTTAATTTTGGGAAGTATGTGAATCATCGCATTGTGAATTTGTACAAGTTTTAAACTTTCCATGATATTTAGTTTGTATTTGCAATATATGGGTATGTAAAGTTTTTGCACATATTTTTAATGATATCGTTTCGATCAAGCAATCAAGACATAAGCCAAACTGCAAAAAGAAAACCTTTTAGCATGCAATTAATCGAGGAAACCAGTTCTTTGTGAAAAATACATCATTGTCTACAGTGTTTGTACACTTACAACAGAGCACTACAACAGCAAGTTCCTCATTTACATGTACTCAACTAAATGCTTGAATATTTAATGAGAAAAATGACATCTTTTAGTGGCTTCAGCATTTCTCTCATCAAATCATGACGAATAAAAAATTTTTACGCCGTATTCAGTTTTCTGTGGCGATGTGATATTTCATAAAAAATGGTAAGAGATATCAGGTTAATTGTAAAAGTGATATGTTTGTTCAATATATATTCCATGCATTAAGATGTAGTTAATATGTTTTAATTTTTGTCATGCTTAGTATAAATGTCTAGCACTCAGACATTTTTGAAAATGCACGAAGAGAAATATGCATAATAACTTATTTTTTCAGCATTCGACCGTCCCGACAACTCTTTAGCATGCAGTTAATCAAGGGAAGCAGTTCTTCATAAAAACTGCTTTGTTGTTTAAAGTAGGGACCTATAGGGTAGGTCAAAATAAGTTACAGAAGCTCATTTTAAATTCGTCAGCCGTTTTTAACAACGCTGTTGGTTAAATATTGCCAAAGAATATTTAACACTAAAATTCTCCCAATAGGATTCACTCCAAAGTATTATAAACTGGAAATATATTTTCAGTAATGTTTTTGACTTACCCCAGATCAGCCACTCTACTTTGTACATCGACATCAGAGCCTCCACAACAATAAGTGTTTCATTTACATGTACTTAAATGCTCAATGCACGTTTAAAGACAAAATTTCATTGATTATGTTAATTCCTCTGTGTTTGAAAATGTCTGGGTACAAGACGTTTATATTAAACATGGCAAAAATTTAAGCACATTATCTCATAATTTACACAATAAGTTGTTTTTATGGAATTTATCCAACAATTCAAAGATCATTTCAAAGCATTCTAAATTTATATTTCAGTCTTACCCTGCCAATGAAGTTGTATATAATAGAAACCACGTTTTAATTCAAATATTCCCTAAAATAATATTTTTTGACCGACAGAAAAACACAAGCAATACTGAGCATATTAAATTACCATGCTGTCACAAAGTCAATTTATGACAGAAACAAAATTACAGATACTTTATTCTAGGTGATTAAAGTGCACAGCTCAAATTATTTGCAGTTTCACTGTCAAATTCACATCCTTTTGGTAAATTTTCTAGTTTATCTTTAACAGAGTTCAGCTTATTAGCGTTTTAACATTTACAACAAAAATTAATCATGTAGTCTCAAGTTGTCTAAATGTTCATTGACTATCGAAAATAGAAAATAGGTATCATTTTTAATATTCATTAAAAATATGTCAGAAACCTTTTTGTTTCATCTCGTTTTTCAACATTGAGATTCTGTAACGCTCATTGCAACGATTCTATAACTAATGGTTAGCAATCGTAAGTCTTCAACTCTTTGGTAAGTATAAAAATATCTTTATCAGACGTAACTTGACCAGTTATGATTTGAAAAAGTCAATTTTAACTCAGCATTAACCGTGCACACATACTCATATTTTGGTGTGTTTGACACAAGATATGTCTGAAGAGTAATTTTCCCTTCTTTCCTATCTGTCACTCACTTTTCCCTTAGATGACAAGCTCCTTTTGTTTCACATGCAAATAAGTCATAATCCTAGGTAATGTCACTTTTCATATTTGTACCGACATCGCCGTTAAAACTGGTTTGGCAAAGTGTTACAAAGTTCTCACAAAGTTTACCAAGCTCTTCTTCGAATTTGTTGTTTTTCTTATACGTCCATGGATACAGTCAAACAACCACAAACTTCACACAAAAACACAATAAGACAATTATGATAAAGTTGCTATATTGGTATTAATACATATTTCATTTTATATAGACATTTCTATTACATGTTACAAGACGCAAAGCTATACCTGCAAAGCTGCTTAGCCAAATATTTCGTGAAAATGAAGCTTCCCAATAGAAAGCCTTTTTGAATGAACAGGTTTATAACAATGGAAATAAAACATTGATTCATTGTTTCGAATTCAGTTTCTCCAGTCCTTACACGTATACAATCCGTTTACTTTTGGACTAAGGTCACTTAAGCTATAGAAGAACGATTTCATCACATCTTCTTCATCAATTTCCAATGTGCATTATAAATTTAAATAAATATTCTTTCATCTTTTTTAAATTACATGCAAATAATTAGGAAACTATGAATACATAACTTTACGTTAAGGAAATACAACTAAATTCTCGGCAAGAAAGGCTATTTTCAAAACGGTTTTAATGAAGATAATTTTTCTTCGTCATGTAATCTATATTACACAACAATATAGTCAGATTTTTTTGAGCAAGTTAAATGATGCACAATATTATTGTGTGATAGTAACGGTACTTCCATTTCACAATCTCATCAATTTTCTCATTTTTTATAATCATAGCTACTCTTTATTTAATACGATCATTTCCAGTAGTTATGAGGAGATTTTAAAGCCTTAGAGTGAAGATAAAAATGTGAAAGATTTCAGCGAGAAAATAAAAAAGAGACAAAACAGAATTTCGATGAAAGATAATTATGATAAAAGTAATCAAGACGACATTTAATTACATCTACAAAATCTACTTTAACATTACATCATAGCTACATTTCTGAATTGATAATTATGAAGATCACGTGAAGTTCACGTGAAACGTTAAACATAATAATAAACTTCAACTTCATCAGATGTAAAATAATATGAACCTGCAAGAAGGGCTTGGGTGTTACTACTGCCGTATCTGTAACCAGATGGAGGACGATAGGTGTGTCCAAAATAGGTGTGGGAATTTTTGTTTTTGTTTGCGTTGTTTGCTATGTAGAGGTCATGTCCTCCTCCAAACGTTGGTCCATAGCCAGGGTTAGTATAAATGGCGTTGTTGCTGTAACGATAAACTGGTGATCTAAATGGACTCAAATTGTCTTTGTTACGAAGTGAGAAAATGTAATTACTGGAACTTGTTCGATAACTTCCACTTGAACCTATAAATATAAACAAGCATAGAAAATTAAGCTCATTCGATATCTTCTCTCGAAGCTCATTAGCAAAATTTTACGAAATTGCAGCACAAGAACTGAATTCCTTATTGCTCTCACTTCAACTTCACATTTTCCATTAACCAATACAAAATTTGAGAGAAAGTCAAAATTAGTGCTGGGCGAAACGTTTTGAACCGATAAGACTCACATCACACGAACGTCGCGCTAGGTTGAAGGAGGTAACGCTGATCAATGCGAGGCAATTTCTTTATCAGGTTACTCAGGAGTAATAAAGGAATATTATTTCATATTTATTAAGAAAAAACCCGTAGTTGTGGGCTGCTTGTAGTTCCTTCAGAAGCGGAGTGATTCACAAAGCTTTGACGTGATTGGTTACTTTAAAAAACACATTGTTCGATTGGTCAATTCGAAGCAGGAAGTTAAGAGTTTCAAAGAGTTTCTTTGAGGAACCTACATGGCTAGATCAATTGATAAACGTGAGCTAATTTGTTGATCAAAATTTTTTGAAAGGCTTCTATTGCCGCGACTCACGGTGACTGTAAGATGTCACATTTTAAGTACTAAAAACGTAATCTCGTATCATGTCCATTCGTGTAACGAAAAATTGAAATTAAAGAAAAAATTTTGGTTTCGTTTTGACAAAAAATTTTCAATGTTTTGAAATTTAATGCATAAAATTTCGGTGCACAGCACTAATAAACCACTAACCACATTGCATAAACACACCGAATGATTTTAAAACTTACCTCCCCATTGATACGTTGAATATCCACCGAAGATGTATTTCCCAACTTTAACTAAAGTTATTGTTTTTCCTTGATTATCACATCTTGAGTGGAAAATTCTTGAATTCCATCCATCATAAGTGGCTCTCCAACAACGAGTGAGTTTATTAAATAAAAACCAAGTCTTTAACAGTTTCAAAAATCTTTCTGGTTCCCGTCTGAGTATCTTTGAGGCTGAGATATCATCTAAATGTTGACTATTCAGTTTATGTTTGTTTGTGACATAAGAAAGTGACTTAATTTATTGTTAATCTATGCTTTTCAATGCGAATTGCTATTATCTTATGCTTAAACTCGTGATTTCACAATTTCAAGTCTTTCTGTGATTTTAAGTTAAATATTACCCTTTCTTTAAATCAAAATTCAAAGTCATCAATTCTATATATTTTACAGATAATGAATACGTACAAGAAAGGAATGAGGAAACAAAAGTAACGTTGATGGTTTTGATTTCATTCTCGAGCTTAGAAATATCTTTTAGAATCTGCAAAATAAATAATTTTAAATAAGCCGGCAAATGTAACGTACTCACATAGATGTATAGCCAACTGCTAAAGTTTAATGATTTTTTTGCATTTTCTCAAACCTCTTTGTGATTCATAAAACATTTTAAGATCTTTTACCTTTTTTTCTTCAGCCAATGCCTTTAGTTGTTTATCTTCTTGGACATAAAGTTTATTTTTATCTTTACGATAAACCATCATTCCTTCAATATTTGGAACTTTTTTCATATTGATATTATCTGGTACAACAATCATCTGTTAAAGTAAAGAGTTACTGTGAGTAAATGAAGATTAACATCATTTAAACAAGGCTCGCAGATAAATATTTTCACGTTTAAACACTCAAAAAACAAACGTGTTCATACACATAAACCACGCTCAATTAGGATATAAATTTTACAAATGATCTTGTATTTTTGTTTCACATCAAATTACTTACTCCTTCATAAAACAGCGGTTTATCTTTTGTACAACGACCCTGCAAATGTATAAGGAAAGTTTAATATAGTTCTGCAAGATATTAGCTAATTGAAATACCAATATATTTAATTCTTCCGCAATTTCAATGTTGTCTTCTCTCTTCGATAACATCAAAAATTCATCAATTTATGACAAGTATTACACAAACTACATACTTTCACAGGTACTTCATTACTACCCAGTAACTTGTACCAAACAGCAGTTCCATTTTCAATAACTTTGTAATCCATACAATTCCTCCATTTTCTTGTAAGAATACGAGAGCGCACCCAAAACCAAGTATAAACATTTTTCTTAATTGTTCCACCATTCTTTGCCTCACATTCTTTGTAACAATAATTTTTTATACCATTCTTAGGACCATAACAACCACAGCACTATAAAAAAGTAAAAACGTTAAACAATGAATAGCCTGTTTTTTCATTTTAGACTAAATTTTGCGAATGAAGCCTACACTTCTGAAATACGCATTCATTATATTCAGAATACGTGTATAGCAGAAATAGAGTAGTTGACATTCCTTATGAGCATCAGCTTACTATACTTAATGAAGCATTAAATCCAAAATACATTCAACTGATACGTTTGGCACCGAATACATAGCTAATAAGAAATATCTAAGCAATTAAACATTTCTTATGAGCATTTAAAGTCTATGAATATATAGCATATATAGAAAATATACAGCATGCAAAGTTATAAAGGATGATCAATGAAAAAAAACATTTAGCTACATAGCCTTAAGGGTATTCTTAACACAAAATAACTTATACAGAGTAAAATAAAAACCTTTTCGTTGTCACAGCCAACCAATGCTGTTGCCCCAAAATTTATACCAAAATTTGATTTGTCGTACTGTAGCTAAAGTTTGAACAATGTATACGTTAATTTTAATTAGTTCACTGTTTTTCATAACATTTAAATTTACAATGATTTCAAACTAATTCCATTTCATTGAAGCAGGTTCTTATTTTCTACTTTTAGTTTTTAGTACTTTTTAAGTCTTTCCGTGAGTTAGTTTTTGAATTTTTGCTGCTTAATAAATAACAAAACAACACTGTAGCTATATTAGTTCTGTAGGTACAATATATCCTCTGAGCTTCTGAAAGTCAACAATTATAGTTGTACAAAATGTGTAAATGTTAATTTGCAATACCACTGATGTTGTTACCTGAATGCTCCAGAATAGTCAGTTTGAAATGGATGTTTGAGATGAAAAGCAAATCCCTTGCGGCAGGGTCTGCTTAAACAAATATTCATTTTTGCCTACAAAAGAAAAAGAACAGAAATCACACCACCATATTCTAGAAGTTCATATATCATTGATATGAACCCAACAATTGAATCATTCTCTTCATACCCATCCAAACTGTGTTCTTTTATTGTGTGCCAATCCAAATTTTGAGCAACGAAAACTTGTTGTCACAACTTTATCAATGATTAAATCTTTCACAAACGAAACGTCACCAATTCCAGGTGATGTTTTTGTACAGCCTCCTTTGTTGTAAATCATCAGATTTTATAATTTTCGTGGATTTTGAAATCTGTAAAACCTGAAATAAATGACATCGCGTAATATTTTTGTCCCTATTGGAAGTCAACAGGGGCGTTGAAAACGGAGGGAAGGGGCGCTTTCCTTACTTTTCTTGAAAGAGGGGAAGTGCCCACTTGCTTTTTTGCACAAAACACAACGTATTGAAATTCTGACATAAAGTATATCACGCTGGTCGTTTGCCTGAGCAATTCAATACGTGATATAAGCATACAATATGCAGAAAAAACGATATCACTGCTAAATTGATATTCATAATTTCTGGGATGCCTCCACTTTTTACTGCCTATCCAACGTCCCTGAAAGTTAGTAATGGCCAAAGTGATAATTTCTATACCAATGAGCTTTTGTTGCTTTAAAATCATCTCCAGTGGCCATTTGTACTCTAAAATCAACCATTGGAGACTCTCCTAATGAACTTATCCAATGAGGTTCACCAAATGGTTCCACTGTCTTGCTGTTCGATGGTACTGTCCATGTAATGGATGTATTTTTTCGACCAATCAACAGGAACCCACCACCATCAGTTGTCATATCACAATAAATCTTAATAGAACAAGGAATGATGAAAAAAATGATTCACGTATGAAGTGAATAAAAAAGTTGTATATAACAACCATGTATGTAAAAATGTATTTATGAATAAACAAACTTGTCTTTTGAATTCACAACTTATTTTATGTTGCCACTCGCTCTAAGGGTCTACAAGCTAAAAGCACGTGTAAATTGATAATTTCCTCATTCTGATGAAGGCTCGAAGCAACGAGTCGAAAGCTCAATAAAAATCATTGAAAGTCCGGAGAAACTTCTATTTTTAAACAATATTTGTCTTAAGTATTTACTCTTTTTGGCTTCTTTTCTCCAAGTGTTATCCAATAAAATCCATCTTTTGCTTTTGGATCTTTATCCAATATGGTTGAGCAGTCGTATACTGGGTTGAAAAACTCTCCTGGAGAACTTGAACCTGAGAAACGGTTTTACGTAATTTACGTATTATTTTATTACACTAAATGTACAAATCCAAAGTTTGTATCATACACACCATCTATGGTTCTCCATCCAAAAATACCGTTAACTTTTAAACATATCAAGAGTTTAGGTTCGTTCTGTCGATCGCGAACTAACGTTATCTCTCCACTTTTGTTTTTCAAACATGGTCCTGGGTTGTTTCCTTTAATTACCTTGATTTTCTAAAGAGAAATTCGACGTGTATTTTCATTTAGTCAGTTAGCTTTCTTTGGTCTGTCGTTCAATAAGGACGATAGTCAATATAGAATTCAGCAATTCTCATTTCTTATTTCAATACAGCTATATTACACAAGGAGGAAAGTCAAATAGTCTTTGTTACCGAAGACTGTAGTTTTCCTAAGACCCCAAGTATGAGAGCGACAAAATATAAACCCTTCATCTTCTCTCTTTTTCAAATTGCAGTTAAAACGTTTTTGTGAGCTCTGAAAATTCATCTTTCTCTTTTATGACCTTCCAAACTGAAACGGAAGACGTTTATACAAAGGTGACAACCTTTAGTCGATAAAATATTGATGAGCATTTATTGACAGAGAATATTAATGAATTGATAGTGAACAAAATAAATAAAGCTGTGCAATGATGCAAGTTATTTATAAATGTAATGTAGGGGTTTAAGTTCGTTGACTTTTTTATATATTTTAGATGAAGACCATAGAACTATAGTTAAAAGGAAAATCGATCATCTTTTTTTAATTTTACTGAAAAACCAACTTTGTGGTCGATACATTTACTGCATCTTTCAGATCATTAAAACAGCACCATTTTAATTTTGCGAGTTCTTTTTAATAAGAGTAGATAATAAGCTGATAACTTGGTTACGGCATGAGTAAAAATTATACTTTTCAAGTGCATGAAATCATTAAGACTCCAGTTTCTCTTCATCCATGATAGGGTCAAGATAACAAAAAAATACCTCATTGACATGTAGTGTAGAAATTGAATATGTTATTTAAAGCCATTATTTATCAGTGGCTTCCTCTTCAGCATTTTGCTCAACACGTTTTGAAAATTAAAAATAGCGTAGCTAGCAGTCAAGATTTATTTTTGTGATGAATGGAAAAATAGTTTTGCAGAGAAAGACTGGGGTCATTTAGGCTCATACATACGTCAGATAAAATTAGTTATGCTCACTCAAATCTTTTGACAAAGGACATTTTACAATTTAGCTACTATTACGAGTTTCAAAATTCAGCGGATTATAGTTCAGACAGGCGTGTAATATACACAATAGTGCACCTTGGAGTTAAATATAACCTTTGCGAATTATAAATAATAGAGTAGTTTTAAAAAGTTATGCGTGATCCAATATATAAGGATTAAACCTAATTTAATTCAATCAAACATTCACAGACAAATTTAATAGAAACGCGCGCTTTCAGCTGTCTGACTACAGCTTTTCACGGGTTGAAATAACCGTAAAGGTTAGCATAAACTATAAACAACATTACCAAGTGAAGAGCAGTTTTAATGACAAATATTCTATTAACAAATTAAGTTATTCATCAAAATACTTACTTTAAAAAGTACACATACTACAAAGCCCACAATTTAAATGAAATACGACGTGGCGTAGCTTGCAGAATTTTAAAATAGCACACAACAAAAATTATGTAAATATCATAATTAATATTTGCATATGAAGAAGTTTCTCTTAAAAATTTCGATTTTGTATCTTAAATATTACAAAAGTTACAAGGTTTCACGAGCTACTTTGACTACAAACAATGTTAACAAAGTATTTTCCCTTAAAACATGCCTTCCATTCCTGCCATCGGGAAACGAGAAAGTGTATAAGATATCTATCTTAAGCACTACAAAAATTATTGCATTTCATTGGATAATTTGCGAGGTTATTTCTTATACACTTGCAGACTGCTCTTCCTACTCAGCAAGACAAAAAAAATCCGAACAAATAAATTTAATAAAATACAACACTTCATGGTAAAACGTTTTTATTCACTTTCAGCACTTCAGACAATGGCACTGACAACGAGCATATTTGCAATTAATTGTATAATAAACCTTTGTTTGAAATCAAAATATTAGCATCAAAAGCAAAATATTTCATAAATCTGTCACGTATTGTAATGAAGAGTGCCATAAGGCCAAAGCCTCCTATATTCTTCGGTGTTACTAAAAAGTATCGACTATTTTTCCATAGCTAAGCCAATGGGCTGCATTTGATATGTAGTTATCGTTTTCACATTGACCAACAGCAGAGTGAAATATTTTAGTTATGGATGATGAAGTGCCTTAATTGAGTATATGCATCACAAAAGCAAAATGTTTCATATACAAGAGTCGCATGCATATCATCAGAACTTTAAAAATGGCAAAAACGTGCATCCGGTGTGCAGCGCTACATGCATCCAATACATTTGGGCGTTATCTTTCATTTTCTTTTTCAAGTATAATACAATATAAGCAAAACTAAATTTCGGAAAAAATCTTTTGTGTTTTGTTGCTAAGATGGCCAGAGTAAAGTTGCCAATATATATCTGCAATTTAAGGTATAACTGTCTCTTCAACACAGTCTTGTCACGTAACTGTTTCGTTAACTTTCTTGTTTAATCAGGTTAACTAGCATTTAAACAAGTAATTTCACCCATTCAAATAGATACAGTTAGTAAATTGCGACAAAGACACTGTAATATTTCAAATATAGACAAACGACAAAAGCGTTTAGATCATCTGAAAGAGATCGTAATAACATTCCATTGATGACTTAAATCATTTACTTTGTACTGGTGAAAATTATTTGTACAATTAATGGTTTTAATCATTGTGTTCTTCAAAGAATTTCATTAATTTCAAATCTAAATTCAGTTTTAAATTTTTACAATGATATAGTGGACATGATAACCCACTACACAGCTTGATGTATGTGTCAGTCTATTTTCAGCAAATACAAAGATTAAGCTTAGAGATAAATAAACTATAGCTTTAGAGGTTATTTTACTCTTAAATTTTAAAACAAACAGAGGATCTATTAGCTTTTGATTTAAAACTTGAGAAAATTATAACGTTTTGATAGAAACATTTTATTTCTCGCAGACAACTGTCTCCAATGATATATTTGATATCATTGTTTACCATAACCACAATCTTATGCCGACTTCCTCTCACAAGAAAACTTAAATTGCGACGTATGTTTGCATGACATATGTAAATAATATCGTGTTTACAGACTTTAGTCTTCTGCAGGAACCTATCACGATGTTCACCATGTACATATGCATGCATTCAAATACAAAAATATCACTAAAATTATGAAATACAACCAACATCAGAGTTTTCTGAGAGTGAGTTTGGCTGAGGAGGATACTTCAAGAATAAATGGACCCTCACAATGCGGTTGAAATGTCGTAGGAATAATGTGATATGATCCGGGGGGTACATCAGACATCTCGAGGACGTTGAACCCAGTCCTAAAAATGTATGTATGAGAAGATAATATGAAAATGTATACAAAGGGAAGTTAACTCTTTGAAGAGAATTCCGTATGCCTATGTAAATTGCATTCCATACTTTCTCTGCACACGCAGAGCTTTACCAAGATTTGAATGTCATTGACTTAGCGTCAAGTTAAAAGTCGTACAGATTTTCATATAGTAATAATTACAGATTGTACATCAACTCCACATTATATTTGTTAAATAATCTGACTCTAAGTCTTTTTAAAAATGTATCAAACATAGTATTACACAAACTAAAACTTCAGTCAACTGTACGTACCTGTATGAATCAACAGTTTTTCTAAAACTGGGAGAGCCACCAGATGAACGTAGAGATATAACAGTAAAACCAACAGCATATGGCCTTGGAAAGAAAAAATTTCAAAGTTATACGTACAGCATATCAGCATTAAATTGGTAAAATCCCAGTTACAATCATAAATATACCATCAGTATGGACATGAAGGTGTTTTTTATTAGATTAAAAGTAAAAATTGCTATTTCCAATAAGCACTTTCCCATTATGCTCTGTATTAAAAATCGCCACGGTACGTGTGGGATTTTGAAGCCAAGCTTCAATTCATAAATATCGTTTGTTCAAAAGGTACAAACTAACAGATTAAACGTTACAATTGTCGCCCAGTTAACTTTTTTCATACCTAGGGCCACGAATTTTTACGCAAACACTCAATGTTTTTTTAGAAGCTGATTCCTCTAATTCACAGAAATATACGGGATTATTTCCAAAAGTTGCAGAATAATTTGCACAACCACCAGCCGTACTGCCTTTCCATTCACCTGTCTCCTGCATAAAAAAATCATACCAACTATATAGTAAGCTTTATTGAAAGAAAAAGTTATTCATGTACAGTTCTCGGTCAGAAAGGCAAAGAAATAGAAAGCTTTATTGAAAGAAAAAGTTGTTCATGTACAGTTTTCGGTCAGAAAGGCAAAGAAACAGTAAGCTTTATTGAAAGAAAACGTTATTCATGTACAGTTCTCGGTCAGAAAGGCAAGAAATAGAAATATTGACGATCACGACATCAATATGACATTTAAGGCTTCATAACCAGCCATATATAACATTGTTTACGGAGGAGCAAATTAAAAAAAAGCACATTCCTCTCAAAAACATAATACTCCAAAAAGTACAGTCTATACCACAAGAGCACAAACTGCACTGCACAACCTGCACTCCTGCATAGTCTACACTGGAGCACAGTCCTCTCGAAAGCCCAGACCTCCATGAAGTACAGTCTAAGCTGGACTACAGTCTATACTGAAGCACAGTCTTCACTGGAGCACAGTTCTCTCCAAAGCAGAGACCTCCATGGAACACAGTCTAGTCGTCGCTGAGGCACAGTCCTCTCTATAGCACAATTTAAACTGAAGCACAGTCTACACTAGGACAAAAGCACAATTTAAACTGGAGCAAAGTCTACACTAGGGCAAAAGAACATTTTAAACTGGAGCACAGTCTACACTAGGGCAAAAGCACAATTAAGACTGGAGCACAGTCTACTCTAGGGCAAAAGCACAATTTAAACTAGAGCACAGTCTACACTAAAGCAAAAGCACAATTCAAACTAGAGCACAGTCTACACTAGGGCAAAAGCACAATTTAAACTAGAGCACAGTCTACACTAGGACAAAAGCACAATTTAAACTAGAGCACAGTCTACACTAGGACAAAAGCACGATTTAAACTAGAGCACAGTCTACACTAGGGCAAAAGCACAATTTAAACTAAAGCACAGTCTACACTAGGACAAAAGCACAATTTAAACTGGAGCAAAGTCTACTCTAGGGCAAAAGCACAATTTAAACTGGAGCACAGTCTACACTAGGGCAAAAGCACAATTTAAACTAAAGCACAGTCTACTCTAGGGCAAAAGCACAATTTAAACTGGAGCACAGTCTACACTAGGGCAAAAGCACAATTTAAACTGGAGCACAGTCTACTCTAGGGCAAAAGCACAATTTAAACTGGAGCACAGTCTACACTAGAGCAAAATCATCAGTCAACTACTCAACAGACGAGCGCAGTCTACGCTAAAACACAGTCTATACTGGAATGTAGATTGAAGTGTCTGAGCAGCAGTATAAAAGGACTGAGTCAAAAAACGGCGATTGGTGCAATGCATAAAACATTTCATTAGACAAATTAACTTGCAATAGTTCAATTTTGAAGTACGTACTTACCTGTTTATGACAGATATAAGGATTTGGGAAAGGTGAAATTTTAAAATCAGCTTTAGAAAATACCTAAACAAAATTAAGAGATAATCTACAGGGAGAATTTGTTATTCCTGCATAAGTAGCTAAAACAAGATATAAAATTTTTTTTCATCGGTATCAGCATTTCAGAGAAAAATAAAGCAATTAACCACAAAACCCAAATCATTAAACAGAAACCATTGTCAATACTACACGTTCTTCCTGTTTGTGGAAAAATATAAAAAAATAACAATTCATTCACTAAGATAAGCCACATTTATCAAGTGCATTAAGTTCACGTGTAGAAAGTAATATACAAGAAAAAGTTAGGCATCAAATAACTGGCAATTCTAAAACATATGATTTTACTAGTATGTGGGAGTTATTCATTTATTTTAACCTTTAACGTATAGTGAATCGTGTTGTGTTTTTCATATTGTGAAATCACCAACGTGAACGTGTTAGTTGTCTTGTCCGCTTTCAATTTAACAAGATAATGAGGACTGTTGATCTTTATTACTTCAATGTAGCAGTTTTCTTTACAACAAATAGAAAAACAAAACTGTTTAGTTTCGTTTGCAATGACAAGACTTCATGTAGTAAACACAAAATGAATAATTTACCCTGATGATAAATTCTTTGTCCAGATGATTTATAAACATGAACTGTAATGAATTCTTTATTGTTTGCAAAGTCGTCCTATAAATTAGCAAGTCGAAATATTTTAAATTAAATTTAGAGATTAATTACACAGCATTTTTGAGATTCCCGCTCCTCGTTCGTTGTAAATGTTTACGGAGGCACAGTACAATAACCGATTACATGATTGTTCTCACATCTCAGTCTCACATTTCCATAATTTTTCGAAGATTTTACACAAAAAACCACTGCATGGCCATTGCATGAACATACATTGAATTACTGAAAAACTTACAACTCCAACCAAAACTGTGTTTTCCAACTTTCACTAAAGTTTTTCCTTGATTGTCACATCTTGAGTGGAAAATTCTTGAATTCCATCCATCAAAAGTGGCTCTCTAACAACGAGTGAGTTTATTAAATAAAAACCAAGTCTTTAACAGTTTCAAAAATCTTTCTGGTTCCTGTCTGAGTATTTTTGAGGCTGATATATCATCTAAATGTTGATTATTTAGTTTATGTTTGTTTGTGACATAAGAAAGTGACTTAATTTATTGTCAATCTATGCTTTTCAGCGCAAATTGCTATTATCTTATGCTTAAACTCGTGATTTCACAATTTCAAGTCTTTCTGTGATTTTGAGTTAAATATTACCTTTGTTTAAATCGAAATTCAAAGTCATCAATGCTATATATTTTACAGATAATGAATATGTACAAGAAAGGAATGAGGTAACAAAAGTAACGTTGATGGTTTTGATTTCATTTTCGAGCTTAGAAATATCTTTGTTCAGCGTCCGAAGAATCTGCAAAATAAATAGTTTTAATAAAGCAAAATTTGCAAAATGTGCAGGATAACATACTGATATAGTTGCCATAGTTCAATAAATTTTTTTCATTTTCCCTAACCTCATTCTGAAGCAGTTGATAATATTTTACCTTTTTCTTAAGCCAATGCCTTTAGTTGTTTATCTTCTTGGACATAAAGTATATCTTGTCTTTACGATAAAACAACAGTCCTTCAATATTTGGAACTTTTTTCAAAGTGTTATTATCTGGTACAACAATGTTCTGTTTCAGTAAAAGGTTATGTAAATAAGTGAAGATTAACATCATATTTACATGGTCCAATGAAAACAACATTGATGAGCATTTCAACAAGCAAATCATGGCTAGTATTGTGTTACGTATCAACTCATTTGAAAAGTTCAAAAGAACTGACAACGTATTATTTTACTTCTATTTCACACAACAAATCACTTACTCCTTCATAAAACAATGGTTTATTTTTTGTACAACGACCCTGTAAGTGTAAAGATAATTTATTAGTTCTAAAGATATTCGCTAATTGAAAAACCAATTTATTATAAATTCTTGCACAATTTTTATATAGTTTTTTTCTCTCAAATGACATCGTAAAGAAATCATTAAGTCCATGACAACTATCACACAAACAACATACTTTCACAGGTACTTTCATTACTACCCAGTAACTTGTACCACACAGCAGTTCCATTTTCTATGACTTTGTAATCCATACAATTCCTCCACATTCTTCTAGGAATACGAGAGCGCGCCCAAAACCATGTATTAATATTTTTCTTAGTTGTTCCACCATTCTTTGCCTCGCATTCTTTAAAACAATAATTGTTTTTCCCATTCTTAGGACCATAACACCCACAGCACTATATAAAAGCAAAGTTTTTCGATAAGAAGTTATAACCTGTATGTTGTTTATTTTATGTTAAACGTAAGAAGTGCATTTTAATTGTATTCAGTATATTTAATAAGAAAGGAAATTAAACATTGCTTTTGATGTTCATAAGCATTGCTCGAGTTATAAACATACAATTGTTGTAGAAAAGATGACAAAAGAAAGATTATCAGATTAGCATTTTTTTTAATTTATAGATTGGTGAGCAATGTTCAACGTGAGTAGGATTTGGTTATTTTGCTGCTTAAGATTTTCACTAGCGACATAAGCACAAACGATAAAACAAAGCGAAGCAAATCCTCCAGAGACTGGAGGAAATAAAAGAAAAACGATTTTCTTTTCAATTTGTTTTTGTTCTACCTCATGCTTATGTCAAGTTGCTGTGCTTATGCTTACGTTTAGCTGATGCTTGTGTCAGTCACTTCATTGCCTTCTTTTGTATTTTCTTTTGTCTTTTTTTGTCTTTATGCTTATGTCGCTAGTGAAAACTGGGCTTGAGCCATGGAGGTAAAATTGTGCAGTGTAAACTATTTTAAAAGTATTACACGCTGTTTTACGTCTCCTTTAATCCACATACTAAATTTTGTAATTCAGTTGCACAGCTTATACTTATTTATCAAAATAAAATAATGCACAAAGTATAATAAACCTTCATGATATCACATCCAACCAATGCCGTCGCTCCAAACTCCATACCAGAAATTGGATTTGTCGTACTGTAGCTGATTTTTGCACTGACAATAAAACATTTCATTTACGTGTACTTAATAACAATTGAATCTTTGATGCATAAAACCAATCATTTATCAGTATATTCAGTAGCTTCAGCAATTTACTCATTAAGAGTTAACACAAGTAAAATGTACACGAAACTTTTAGTAAAGATTTATTCAATTTGCGACACTGAAATAAGGCTTAGTTTCAAAAGGAAAAACTCAAAACATATCAAGTTAAGTGTTAATTAGTTCGTCGCAATATATTTCTGCTCTTATACATCAAATATGAAACATCTTGTACATTAAATGTATCATCATGCATATAAATGTCTTGAACGCATACATTGTTAATTAATAATGTACATAATAAGTACTCTTCTTATACAAAGAATTTAGTTCCTTAAAAGACGAAAAAATTTTCTTTGACATTCGCAAATACCTATTTAAAAAAACATTTGTGACAAATGGCCCCGTGTACGTGCAGCAAACTTTACTTCAATGTTTATTTGACAATTTTTCTTTGCGGTTCCTGCCATATATTAACAGAACTTTTATGACCCTTATTCATGATTGCAATCTAATAACACAGGACATAGAACAAAAATCACGCTGCATAAGGAAGATTTATTTAAACAACCAGCTCGAAGATTTTGAATGATTTTGTTTGAGTCATTTCCTATTTTGACCAGCCACTTCTCAAAGGCTAACCTAGCTCCACTTGAAAGCTGCGTGCAATTGCTTGGACTAAGCCTCTGCCGAGGAGCTATAAGCGAGTGGTTTGTTTCGTCTTGCGTGTTTTGTGCGAAGCCCACGATTTAACCACGAAGTGAAAAGAAGTGAGACTGTATGTTGACAACGATGCAATCACGGTCAAGCATTTATTTGAATTAGTTTTGGTACTGTAGATTAAAAAATCTGTAAACATTTCATCATACCCTTGTAAATTGTCATTGAAAACACCATTTTGTGGATGTCAATTATAATTTTATAAAATTAAATTAATTTCAAAATGTATACGAGACTGTATAGAGGCGGACTGGCCTGTTAGAGCATCAGGAAACTTCTCGGTGCGCCCATGTGCGGTGTTCTCTGTCACACTCTCCTTTTCGAGAAATTTATAAAGAGAAGAATGATAAAACTATTTTTAAGTGTAACACGTGAAAGGTAATATAGCTACAACGACTAAAGTCTAAAACAATTTGCACCTTTCTATAAATTTTTTTAAGTTTGTATGCATGGAATGTTTTGGTCATACACTGTTGTGTAAACAGTAGCTCACAATGATATTCATAGAGAAAAAAATGACAAAATGACTTTATGTAACTATTGGTAAAAGATTTGGCCGGTTACATATTAATTACTCAAGAATAAGTACTTGGTTAAAGTTTCTATTGTTCATCAGTGATTGTAAACTTTGTATGAACTTATTAACTTTTATGTTTTCAATATAAAACTAGCTGCTAAATAATTGTGGGTTATTTTCGTGACTCAACCTGGGCGTGCAGAATGTAGACAATCTATTTATTTTATACCAATGTCCAACGGCTCTTCTACTAGCTCTAGTAGTAGTAATGTAGATCGTTCAATGTGAACAACCGTAGAATTAAGACGAGAAAAGAAACTGTAAAAATCAAAAGGCAAAAGTGACATTAAGTTACTCTCTTGACCTGGAAGTCAAACAGCGTTTGTTTGTATTGTAAATAGTGTATGATGCATCAGAAGCGGACATTTTTCAAATAAAAACAAGAATATGTGGGTTAGAGGAGTCAAAAGATAAAAAAACATTATTTGTGTATAGTTTGATAATGTCAGGCACGCGTATACAGGTTAATTGAAATTGTAAAAGTTCTTAGTGTTTCTTGAAGAAAATTCACCAAGCTATTAGCGAACATTTTGCTGCAACAAATATCCAACAAATACAAATAAACTTACGTCAAGCGTTACTTTCAAGTTTGTGATTTGGACTTGCCTAGTTCTTGGTACATAGAGCTCTCATGAAAAAAGGATGCAAAAAAATCTTACATGTTGTGTTTAGCAGATTGTGCTAAATGGCAGCTGTCAATGATTTATACTCGATATAGCAGCACCCAACCACCACGTGCCAATGGCTACTGGCTACAAAAAGCACCCTTTTCTAAGTTTCGAAAAGAAAGACGAAGCCTCACGAGACCATTTAACTAAAACAGTGATAAATAATAGCGTTAGAATCAAGGCATAGGCAGGAAATGCTGAAAAATTCGACACTCGATGTGGAAATTCGATAACAAGCGAAAGAAATTAAGTCGAAGCACGTCATTGAGCAGAACGTCAGACGCATTCAACGATTTGATTATAAAAAAAAGAAGCAATCGATTATCCGCAGTAGCAAGCAGTAACCATCACATGCACGCGCTGCAAAAAGTAGCCGTGTGTCATCATTTCAAATATCGTGCAGATATTTTTGTATGTCATGAAGCAAACGTAATCATTTCGCCAAGGTATGTCGTTCAAGGTCGGAAGTGTCGAAAGTATTGGATTCAGAACCCTCAGACTCAGTCAAACACTCCGCACTGTAAAGCTATCATAATAAAACATTTGGCATGATTTTGGAATGAGAAAGTAGCAAACACGCATATTACAAGAAATATTCATTATAAAATATATACTAGAAGTGGACTGTCCAATATGGCCGCCGCTGTCAAAAATTGGCTTCAAAATTTTCTAGACACCAGAAGTAGGTTGCGTTATCCAGTTTTATATATATATCTGTGGGGGGAAACGGGGTGGAGAAAAAATTTCAATCGATAAATTTACAAACATTGAGTGATGAGAATTTGGTGAGTCACCAGAAAATCTCAATACTAGTTAGAAAAAACTAACCAAAACTCGAATTCCACAGTCAATCGTTCACTGGCGAGGGAATAAAGCCTTCTTCTCCCTCTGAAATGTCCACGCCGTAAAAACATGCGCTGAACTGAGGAGCTGAGGTTATTTCTACAAATGGTTGCATATTTGTCAAAATGCATAAGTACCACGATTCTCGGACAGCTATTGAGTTAAAAGGAAAAGTTTTAATGGACAAGCGAGCAGCAGCAGACATTTGAGGAACTGAAGGAAGCATTACAACTGCACTTGCATTAGTTCCATACCAAACAACAAAAAATACCATGGCCGTTTGTGATGGTTGTTCTGAAGTTGTTTGAGGAGCATATTATTCTAAAAGATGAGCCACAACTGTAAATTAACGTAGTTCCTTAAATAAACCGACCCCTAACAAAAACAGAAAGACGATATTTGCAAATAGTAAGTAAGAATGGTTTGGAAGTTATAACTGTTTTGCAATTCAATCAATTCAATTCTCAAACTATGTCACAACGCAGGTTTACAACAAAGAGAG